AAAAAAGGCAAAACAAGAGGTGGCTTTTCGAAAAAGCTGCATACTGCATGCAGAAGTGGAAAAGAAAAAAAGAAAGAAAAAAAGCAAAACAAGAGGTGGCTTTTCGAAAAAGCCGCATACTGCATGCAGAACTGGAACGAAGGGCCGGGAGCCTCTCTCTCTCTCTCTCTCTCTCTCTCTCTCTCTCTCTCTCTCTCTCTCTCTCTCTCTCTCTCTCTCTCTCTTGCCCCCATAACAGAACAGTTGTACCATCTCTCTGACTCTCCCACTCTCCTCGACACTATTTTGGGTGCGCACATGGACGTATCCGTGCGTGCGTGCAGAGGGAGAACAGTTGGGAGGAGGGGAGCTGAAGGCAATGGCGGAACTCCGCAACAAACTTTCTCTGCCGCAAGGCCTCCTCCAGAGGATGGAGGAAGGGTCACCGTCCAAAGTGCGAGTAGCTCAAAAGCTCATCATGTTACAACAGCACGACAGTTTCCGGGAGTGGCACTGTAGCAACTTGTCAATCTCTGTGCTTGCCTGTGCTCATGCGCATGCAATGTCATGTGTGTGTGTGTGTGTGTGTGTGTGTGTGTGTGTGTGTGTGTGCTGTCTCTTATACACATCTAGATGTGTATAAGAGACAGGCGTACATGTGAGCACACACACACGATCATTCATTCACTGTCACAACCATAAAAAAAAAGCAGCATCCAGAAAAAAAAAAAAAAAAAAAAAAAAAAAAAAAAAAAAAAAAAAAAACCATGTCATCACCCGCTTAGAATGTACCCATGCACTCTTTCAATTACCCCGACAGGAGCATGAACTTGCCCAAGATTCTTCTCAAAAATACGATCACTCCCAGCAGGCCAAGTTACCCTTGTCGCTCTACCCATTGAAGAACGAATGGCTCAGTCGCCGCCGACTCGCCTGGAGCCATGCAGATAGACACAAGTGCGCTCTTATAACTGAGGACAGAGACAAGTGCCGCTCTCTTCGCAAACAAATATAATGAACCTCCGGACGTCGCCCATTGGATTGACGTCCACAGCACTTCCTCGATCGATAAATCTGTCAGTCCTCATGTGCCTCTCCTGCTAAGGCTCCCAGCCACACAGCGAATCTTCGAGTCATTCTCTGAGAACGATCTATACAGCAACTCGGTGCAAAGAACCCACGAAGAAAAAGAAGGGACCGACGTGGGGCTTGGGCAATTTCAGCAGCTTGCAACACAAACCATCAAACAAGGATTGGGCGAAAAACTGCAAGGGTTGCTGACAGGATTAGCCCCGGGCGGGGCGGGGG